AGATAAAATGACATTATCAAATTTCTCATGCCATTGTTTTGGTGCTTGCTTTAAACCATAAAGTGACTTGACTAACTTGCAAACCTTCTTTTCATTTCCAAGTAGTACTAACCCTTCGGGTTGTTCCATATAGATTTCCTCATCAAGATCACCATTTAGAAAAGCTGTCTTAACATCCATTTGATGCACATGCAAATTGCATATTGATGCAATTGCAAATAGCACTCTTATGGATGTCAATCTAGCTACCGGAGCATATGTATCGAAATAGTCTATACCACGCTTTTGTTTAAAGCCTTTAGCTACTAATCTAGCTTTGAATGTTAGTATAGACCCATCGGTATTGTACTTTCTCCTAAACACCCATTTGTTGCTTATTGGTTTTGATCCCGGAGGAAGATCGACCAAGATCCAAGTTTGATTCGAGATAATCGAATCCATTTCATCATTCACAGCCTCTCTTCAAAAGGAGGCATCCCTTAAAGTCATAGCTTCATTAAATGTCTTTGGATCTTCCTCTATATTAAGCAACAATGGTATTTTATTAAGTACACCATTTCTATCTCCTTCAAGCAAAAAGGTTAAAGCTTGAGATGAAATAAAATCCGGTGCTAGGTTCTTTTCTTTTCTTTCACGTTGACTTCTTCTCGGTTCGAAAGATGTCATAGACTCTTTCCTTTTATTTGTGGAGGTACCGGGAATGTCAATATATGGTTGATTAACATTAGATTCTAATTCAATGGAAGAATTAAGGCTAAACTTGTTCTCAACAAATTCAACATCTCTTGATTCTATAATAACATTAGAATCTAGATTCAATAATCTATAAGCCTTGGAATTTTTAGCATAACTTACGAAAATACTTCTAATACCTCTAGCTCCTAACTTTGATGATTTATGGTCAATTATTCTATAAAAAGCTAGATAGCCCTACACCCTTAAATACATCAAGTTTGGTTTTCTTCCTTTCCATACTTCATATGGAGAGACATGTGTTTTCATAGATGTAATCCTATTGTGAACATGACATGCTGTAAGTAAAGCTTCCCCCCATAAATTATTAGGCAATTTAGCAGTAAGAAGCATAGAGTTAATCATATCGGTAAAGATTCTATTCTTTCTTTCAGCCAATCCATTTTGTTGAGGAGTAAAAGGGGCTGACTTTTGGTGAATAATACCATGCTCTTCACAGAAAGCATCAAATTCATTTGAGAAATATTCACCACCTCTATCACTTCAAACCATTTTGATCTTCTTGTCTTTTTGGTTTTCAATTTCAACCTTATAAATTTTAAATTTATCAAAGGCTTCATCTTTTGTTCTAAGTAAATACACATAAGTGTATCTAGAACAATCATCAATAAAAGTGATAAAGTATCTCTTTCCTCCTCTAGTCAAAATACCATTATACTCACAAATATCGGTATGAATCATATCCAATATTTGAGTATTACGTTCGGATCTAGGAAAAGGTTTCTTAGTCATCTTTACTTGTATACAAAGTTCACACTTATCATTTTTAATATCTTTGCAATTAATCAAACCATGTTTAGACATGTATTTCAAAAATCTAAAATTTAAGTGTGCTAAACGTGCATGCCAAACATTAAAAGAATCAACAATATAAAGAGAATTCACATCATCTTTATTATTAACACTTAGTTTGTACATGCCATCACAAGAATACCCCTTTCCCACAAAGATCTCATTCTTAGATACAATACAATTATTGCCCTCAAGTACAATCTTAAGCCCATTCTTACACATAAGACTAGCGGATACAAGATTTTTCCTAATATCAGGAACATGAAGTACATTGTTCAATGTAAACTTCTTTCCGGAAGTAAAGTTAATCTCCACCACTCTTCTCCCGGCAACCATCGTTGCATCATTATTCCCTATGAGAACCGTTTGTCCTTCCTTTTCCACTTTGTAAGATAAGAACATAGTCTTGTCATTACAAACGTGGATTGTGGCACCGGAATCAAGCCACCAATCGGAGGATTTAAATGCAGCCATGTTAGTTTCGGTAATCATGCCAATTTGCAATTCCAAGACCATAGCACATATGTCTTCGGATTTCTCTTCAACGACATTGGCATTGTTGGTGTTCACTTCTTCCTTTTTCTTCTTGTATCTGCAGTCAGTTTGGCGATGACCTTTCTTTCCACAAAAGAAACAATTTCCAGAAAAAAAATTTTGGCCATTACCGGGCTTTTTGAACTTCTTGTCATTATTGACTTTGAAGTTCTTTGAAAACTTACTAGCTTCGACAACATTAACTTTAGAGGAATC